GGTCTACTTCTAAAGCAAGTTACTCTTCCAGTAACCACACATCCCTACCTGAAGAAAGGAGACAAACTGCAGAAGCAGCAAAGCGGAGAGCAATTGAGATTCTGAGAGATGCCCTGAAGAAGAAGGACCGAGTGCTGATGGAGAAGCCCCAGGAGCTGTTTTTGGATGATAGTGGAGATCCCAAATCCTGGATGAAACGCCATGTGATACTGACAGAAGAGTTAGTTCGAGATCTCATCTCAGAGCTGGAAGCTGTGAAGTTTAAGGAGGATCTAACCAGGGAAAATAATGACGCATATATTTATTCAGAGTCTGGTGACAAAACTGTGTATTTGTGCCCACTGTTCTGGAAGGCTTCTACACATCTTGGAGAAGGGTCTCAGTCAGGGACTCTTATCCATGAAGTGTCTCACTTCCTGGGGATACGAGATATCAACCATCCCAAGGAGAGTATCGATGTTGCCTTTGCCTGGAGAGGGAAGTTGGCAAAGTTGAAAGTTGGTTCAGAACCCAGTGTCCCAGATCTGAATTCCCTTGCAAAAGCACTATTAAATGCTAACAACATTGAGTGTGAATTTGAAATTACCCTAAATCACAAAGGAAGATACGAGAAGGGACGATACTCCTGCTGTGGGGAAAAAGCCAAGCACTCAGTTTGTGAGAGAGCTGTGCCTGATGAGTTTCTTACCTGCAATTTCCAAGGAAGGTAAGCAACTCTCCTTTCCCATGGGCAGTGCATGTTGTGGGTGGTTCCCTCACTATTGACTGTATAGCACTGGTGCCTAGGGACCCCACACAGGGATTGCATCCCCATGGTGCTAGGGGCTGTACTCAGGGAAGACAGCCCTTGCCCCAGGGCGCTCGCAATCCAGGATTATAATAAGGTACAAATGGGTGGAAGAAAGACAACCAGGGCAAGGGGTGAGAGGAGACGGGGACAGTAAAACGAACACCATGCGCCAGCCCCTGAGCTGGTGCAGACCAGGGTGGCATAGCTCCATTTACTGCAAT